AGATACAAAAGATTATATTCTTATTCTATTTATAATCACTTATAACATATTTTGTTAGAACTAAAAAAATTTAAAACTCATTAATTCTGTTTAAAAATTTAATAAATTTTTAAATTTACCCTAATTGAAATACATATTTTAATGATATATTTTCTCTTACAAAAATTTAATGGATGGTAAAGAGAAAATTTTGTTATAAAAATTTAATATGACCAACAAAAATTATCTCCACCTTTATAAAAAAGATTAGAGGGAGTATGTTTGTAATTATTTGAATCAATATTTATACTTTATTTTAACTTGTCTCTTAATTTTTAACTATCATTAAATTGAAGCTTTAAAACTTACTCCTTCTAAATTACAATATAATATATCTTCTAAGAATCTTACCTGATTCAAAATATAGAACATTAAATAACTTTTATATTTTTTTTTCAACTATACATCTACTTTGTTTATTACTCCTTTTGAAAAAATTATACATTAAAATTTTAATTATTATTATCAAAGCTCTTATATAGGATAATTAATAAGAGTACAAATTAAAAAATTGTGGATATTTTCAAGAATTTTTGATTTTAACTAATATTATTCATAAATTATAAATTAATTAATTATGACTTCTATTATCATTTGGAGGGAGTAACTCCAATTCACTCCATGTTGCCATCTTTAATTTATGATTCATGACAAAGGAGAGTACATGTTTGTATAAGTTGGAGCTTGCTTTAATTTGTAACAAGAATAAAAAAAAAAAAAACCAGTAGAGTACATGTTTTAAAGAATCGAAGAAGGAGTAGATTAGTACATTTAATTGGATTGTTGTCAAAGTAAAGGACTGTTCTTTTTAGAGGCCAGTTGGTCCGTACCACTTCAAGTGCCAAGGGATGCTTATATTTTAATTTTTTGAATGAATTAATGAAATATTTTAATTTCAAGCTAGGTATCATTAATTATATTCTTGTGCTTGTCGGTGCATGTTATATTATACTCCCTCGGTATCAAGAATATAAAATTCAGGTAAAAATAATTAAAATTAGTTAAACTTTTTAATAATATGTTTCAAATTTAAAATTCTTTTTCAAAATGTCCACATTAAATAATTGACGTAAGAGTTATTAATGACAAATTTAACTATTCTATATAATTAGTAGGGGTATAATTGGAATAATGCCATGAATGTACTAAACAATGGTCCAATATTTCTTACATTTAGAGAGGGAGCATATGGTAACACGAATATATCCTACCATTGACTTATCCTTAATTTAAGATAAGGGGGAAAAAAAAGGAACGAATAATCTTAATATCTTGTCTTATCTTAATATATATATATATATATATATATCTGCTGTATATATTATCGAGAGAGAGAGAGAGAGAGAGAGAGAGAGAGAGAGAGAGAGAGAGAGAGACTATTATAATTTGCTCTTAATTATTATGTACGTAGTGTACGTATGAATCCCCTGCTTAGCAATCATGTATAAGTTACATTAATTGTCTTTGCTTGTACGGGTCCTAATTTTTAAGCAATTGGATTTTTATATATAATCCATTATTACAAAGTTAATTATGAGTTTATGGTTGGATTTCCTTGTATTTATTTGTTTGGTCTGTGTTCCCCCACTAAATAATCACGCGTGAGTTATATTTCTCAACCTTCACCATTGCTAATTATTTATAATGGATAAATGAGTAAATTAAATTCTAAACTTTAGTTTCAGTAACATCATATAGACTCTGAACTTATTTATCATGTAAATTATTTTTTTTAATTTTTAAAAATAGTGTAATCTAGTCTTTACTATTAACAAAAATTAATTTTTTTTGTTAGTTGACTATAAATGACTTCATAAATTATAAAAAATAACTTCAAAAATTATAGAGAAGGACAAAAAATTACACTAGAAGTCTCAAAACTTACAAACAATGACTAAAAAAATTACATAAAAAATCCAAAATATTTCATTATTTTTTGTAATTTTTGCAGACGTTTTCTATCAATTTCTACTTAATTAATGATTAAATTTAAATTTTGTTAATAATGAGAACTAAATTACACCATTTTTAAAACTTAAGAAAATAATCTGTACAATAAATAAATTTAGATCTATGGTGTTACCCAACTTAAAATTCAATGTAATTTGCTCATTTACCTAATTATAATCTTAGATAATTAGTTATGATTATAAAGAATTAAATATCCTCCAGGTCTGGTCCCTCTAATAAAAAATTCATTTTTCAAAATGAAAAACAGAAAATGCTGCCTGTTATATTTTTTCATAAGTTGGGTGTATTAGCGTTGGTATAATCGTCTCTATCATGTTTTGAATTAAAATAATGTGTTTATTGTCATGTTATTCATTTGAAATTTAGTGTCGAATTTAATAATTATCATTCAGATGTTATTTATCATGTCAGGTCCATCACTCCATCGTTCGATCATACTAATATTTAGCATTTAAAACATCAAATTATTAAATTTGACACCAAATTCTGGATGAAGACGTGATAAGAAATTGAACAACTAGAAAAGTAAGGAGATAAATTTAGTTGGTTTAAAAATTTAAAAAAAAATCTATAAAAATTTTATAAAATCAGAGATTAAAATTCCACACTAAATCTTATAAAATTATTTTCCCATTTGGGGAAAAAAGAAAGAAAAAAGATTAAGGCCAGATTTAACAGAGTTGGGTCAGGCACGCAACTGCTGACACATTTTGGCATTTGATTATTCTTTGCATTTGATTATCCAGATTTTTTGAAGTTATGGTCAAAGAAAGACAACCTGAAGTTTTCTTCCCAAAACAACATTAATTACATTAAAGTCGCATTTCGTTGCTACGAAAAATGAAATAAAATAGATTGAAAGAATAACATAATGATTAAAATGTGGAGGGAATTTATTTTATATTATTGAGAGTCATGATTCATAAAAGTTTTTAAGGATGTGATGATTTTTATATTTTTAACATATAGTACTGAGTTTTATTATTCTTGTTATGAAGTGAGATGATAATTTAGTTATTTTTCATTATTATTTCTTCTAGCAACTAAATAAGATCAAACGGTGTTCTTTTTAATTGAATTTTGACTTGATTTTTATTCAATTAGTTTGATTTGATATCCATTTATCAACATAACATTTTTATTACCCACGAAACAAGAAATATGATATTTATTATGCTATTTATCAATTATCACTTATCTGAAGAAAATGTGTTTTGACCTCGTCTTAGTTTAAGATTATTTATTGAGATGATATTTACTGATAAAAAGCAAGATAGCAAAAAGTGCCTCAAGGCCTCACCTTCCCTATTTCAAAAAGTGATTTCAAATGAAGAACACGCTTATATAATTTATATATTTATGATAGTATGATACATTTATAACTTGAAAGAAATGAACTTATTGCAAAACACTTGTGAATAAAAATTGAAGAATAACGTCGACTTATATATATATATATATATAAAGTAATTTCCTGACAATAGATTTAATGTGGTCTACCTATCAAATTCTGAGCACATGACATGGCCACTCGTTTAAGGTGTGCACCGACAGGGAACCATTTGTCCATTTCATTATCTCAAAAACCTTAGCGAGAGAAATAGACATGTATTTTTAACATGTTTTTTTTTTTTTTTGGGTCTTTCATCAGTATATAACATCCGTTCAGCCACTTCTTCCACATTAAGAAATTCAATTAGAGTTTGGTAATCTAAATGAATTATAATTTGTCAATAATTTGAATTAATTTCTAAAATTACTCTTAATTTGTCTATCTAATCAATTAATCTCTCACCCTTTCATATTTAGACATCGTAATATAATATGAAAGACAATAAATGATCATTATTGATTGATGTTATAAATAAAGGCATTTAGGGAAAAATATTACTGATTAAAACAATTTGCAGAATACCTCTTTAATAAGGAATTCATGAAAACTTTTTTAAAAATATCTTATAATAAGGATCAGAAATAATATCATTCTTTTTCTAAAATAAACTATCTAGTATCTACATCCACTTGGTCAATTCAAAGATGTCACTTAAAAAAAAAAAATTCAGACAAGGACTATGGTCCTTTGATAAAATTTTATTATAAGACATTTTAAAAAAATTGAAAAATAATAATTAAATCAAACCATGTAATTGAATAGACAAAATTAATTTGATTTGGTTTAATTTTCAGTTTCAGTTTGATGTTGCTCACTTCTCGTAGACATGAACCCACCTATATTCAAATATTCCAAAAATTAATGAAAGTTAAGCTCGCAGGGTGACCAAAAGCATACTCATGGACACAAATTTCCTACTCCTAGCATTGATCACTTTACAAAACATTAAAAGATAATTAATCAAATACCTACTTAACCAGCCTAGGAAAAAACCTACCTAGAACTTGTTTTGCATAAAAATCTTAGGAATTGACAATTAGAAACAAATGGCTAGAATTTCTAGTTACTTTACGTCGTCAATGCAAGCAAAGGTCACAACTCACAAGTTTTTTAATTTTTTTTTTGTAGTATCATATATGTTTTTTAATCTCCATCCCCTTATAATTAAATTCTGGTTCTGCCCTTGAATGCAAGTGCCATAAACGACATTGATCAACTCTTCCTCATATGCACTTCCCCCACTACCCCACCTCCCTTATATCACCATTATTTTCATCATTTATTGTGCTAAAGTACCAAAAAAGTGGAATGAATAGTCTTGAATCTTATAAAGAAAGATTGAAGAATATTAAAGTGAACACTTATAAAAATTGTTATAATGAAATAAAACTTATTGTTATTGTTGTTGTGGTACTATGATAAAATACTTCAGAATTTTCCCCGTTTATTCTCCATCATGCTTTTAAATGCTTAATTCTATATGGCCCTCAAAGTGTACATTAACACATAGAAAATGCAGAAAAGAAAAACGGGCTTGGAACAGGAATATCTACCCAAATTCATATACTTTCCAACTAAGCTTTGGGAGAACACGAGATTAAATAGAACAGATATTTTCAATGAAGATAAACTTACATTGTCATGTATATATCAAGCTAAAATATATTACAGAAGAAAAATCCTCCAAATATATTGAAAAAATAATAATAATAAACAGATTGATTAAAGTTACGGATTGACAGTTCTTGTCAGACATATCCTGACCATATCATTAGAACAAGGAAACTTGACAAGAGAGGAGCAAAGGACCTTCTAACTTTGTGATGCTGTACGCTTGGAGAAAAATTGGCACTTCGAAGGACTGTACACTAGCAGGATAATGTAGCAGCGCTAAGTTTGCTGGTTAGGATGTTTCAAAATTTCTCTGCTAGAAATGACACTTCAAAATTTGAACAGCTCGACCAGTCTGAGGGTGAAAATTTGTCAACGAAGCACTAACAAAATTCTTCCATGCAAACCATAAGCTTAGGCTGCAGCCTAATGTCCCAGCCGAGTGTAAGTTAATGGGACGAATGCCTGCTACCCAAACCAGAGAATTGTTAAGTGTAGTCGCCTGAAACATGGAAACGCTAGGAACATACGGTTGTTTGTTTACCTTTTGTGTAAGATACTGGACATTGAACAAGTCTTTCACAGAAAATTTGTTGGCACTTGAGTCAATCTTTTATGATCTCCTTCAGAGAAAGAACACCATCACGTGGATGTGCTTCTTCCACCCTAACTACTATCTCATCCCCTACCTGAGTTCCAACAGACACCCAAGAAGTTGCTTGAAGTCCAACCTGCAAAAGAGTATGAACTTGTGTATTAAGGACAGTAAAATATTTATGTAGAAATTTTTAGAATTTCATCTTTTGTATATATAATAATTTTGCCAGAATCAGCATCACAGCAAGTAACTCAGCCTATGTTTATAGCTCATTCCAAGCTCGGGGTAAAGGAAAAGAGTTGTATTAGACCCTCAACAACCAACGTAAAACTTTGTTGAATCTCACATGAATATGAACAATAATCACTTCGATAGCAATTCTAGTTCATTGCCTGTAAGCAACATATTGTATGGCTCAAGTGTAGTGACAAAGTGAGTTAAAATCATTGCATCAGTACTAAGATGTGGTGTAAAATAAGCAAGGGCCACCACATTAATCTAGACGAGCATGGCTAAAGAAGTTAGACCATGTGAGCAAAATCAGATTTGGTACTTAAAACGTTGGGACCTTGACTTGTAAATATATGGAGGTGGTAGGAGTTATGATTCATAGAAGAATTAATATCTTGTGCATGCAAGAAGCTAAATGAGTTGGTGAATAAGCTACGGATATTAATGCTTTCAAACTTTGATATACAGGGAAAGCAAGCACATGGAATGGGATGGGTATCGTTGATGAGGAGTGAAAAAAAAACATGGTAGAAGTTAATAGAATTAGAGACAAAATTATTTCCTAAAAAATGATTGTTGGATGCAAGATTGTCAATATTATTAGCACTTACACATCTTAAGTTGGGGCAGAAACGAATCTTAAGGAATTATTTTGGGAAGACTTGAAAGGAATGATTTAAAGCATATCATAAAGTGAAGAAATCTTCATTGGAGAAGACTTTAATGGTCAAGTCTGGAGAAAAGTAGGTAATTATGAAAGGGATATGGTGGTCTTAGATTTGGGAAGCTAAACAATCAAGGACAATCTATTCTTGATTTCTTTTTGATGTGTGATTTTATGATTATCAACATTTGTTTCAAGAAAAGGGATAAACATTTCATCACTTCTAAAAGTAAAGCTTCAAGGTCATAGATTGATTTCCTTTTTATAAGGAACATAAACTGAAGGCTTTGTTAAAATTGTAAGGTGATTCATAAAGATGGCGTAACAACGCAACATAGGGTCCTTATCCTTAAACATTAAGGATAAAACTCAAGAATGTAGATAAGTGGTAAACCTAATGATTAGGTAGTTGCAGTTGAAAGGTGAGAAGCGTAAAATTTTCAAATAGAATTTTTTGGCAGCAAAAATTGAGTTTCTCAAGGAAGTGTTAGCATCTTGTGGAAGGATATGGCAAAGAGCGTAAAAAAGTTTTGAGAGAATCAAAAGGTTTTAGTTCGAAAGTTAAGGAGTCTTAGTGGTGGAATAAGAATATATAGGAAAAAGTCAAACATAAGAATTAGTGTGTTAAAACCACCCATTTGTGCAATAATATTGAAAATTGAGAAAGGTATCATATGGTTAAGAAGGAAACTAAAAAAGCTGTGAGTGAAACATGGAAGCTCATTCTAAAACATTTGAAGAGTTTTACAAGGGTCTTGAGACAAATGATAGAAAACAAAAAATTTATAGGATTGCTAAAAGTAAGGAAAGAAAATCAAGAAATCTAGAACAAGTAAGATGCATCAATGATGAAGAAGAAAATGTTTTGGTTACAGAAGGTGATATTAAAGACGGATGGGAGACCTACTTTTACGAATTTTTCAATGATGGAGGGGGCTTGTCTAGTAGTTTGGAAGATTTAGTAACTCACGAAGAATAATAGAATGTCATTCTATCAAAGAATATGTGGTAGTGAGGTAAATGAAACTCTCAAAAAATGACAAATAGTAAAGCCAATGGACCAGATTGTATTCCCATTGAAGTGTGAAAATATTTAGGTGAAGAGGGAATATAATGGTTAACTAAGTTATTTAATGAGATCTCATGATCCAAAAAAAAGCTTGACAAATAAAGAAGCACCTTAGTTCCTATTTACAAAAATAAAAGGGATATTTAAAATTGTGTAAACTACAGAGGAATTAAATTTATGAGTCATACAATGAAATTATAAGTGATTAAGCAAAGGTTGAGAATGAAGAATGATAAAGCTGATAATTAATTTGGCTTCATGTTAGGAAGGATGACTGCAGAAGCGATTTATCTAATAAGGGAATCAATGAAAAATTATTGAAGCAAAGGTAAAAATTTACATATAGTTTTCACTAATTTAGAAAAAACTCATGACCATGTACCTAGAGAAATACTTTGGAAAGCCTTAAAAAATAAAAATCCAGTTTAGCTATGCTAGAGCTATACAAAATATGTATAAGGGGGCAGCAACCAATGTAAAGATCATTTAGTAGTGAAACAAAGAACTTTTCTACAAGAATTGAACTATATCAAAGATCATCTTAAAGTCTTTATTTATTAATCTAGTTCTAGATATTTTGACTGAGCATATTCCAAAAAAAAAAATTCCCAAATGCATGCTTTTTATGAACGATATAGTTTTTATTGCAAAGACAAGAGAAGAGAATAAGTCAAAGGGTTTCTGTTTGAGTAAGAATAAAACAAAATATTTACATTATAATTTTGACAAGTCGGTCAGTAATAATTTGAAAATGAGATTGACAAATCAAATTATACCTCAATGGCAAAGTTTAGATATTTGGGAACAATTATTCAACATGATAAGGAAATTTATGGGGACGTTGCCCAAGAAATACAAGTTGGGTGGTTTTATTGGAGAAAGGCTAAAGGAATTATTTGTGATTGAAAGGTACCTAATAAACTTAAAAGGAAGTTTTATCGAATTACTATAAGACCAGCTATGTTATATAGTAATGAATGCAAAACTTTAAAAGGATAGCAAGAGCATAAAGTAGGAGATGAGAATGATGAGATAGATGAGTAAGTATACACGTAAAGATAAAATTCGAAATAAACACATATGAGAAAAAGTAGACATGACATCTATTGAGGGGAAATGGTAAAAAATTGTTTGAAATAATCTGGACATGTATAGAGAAGGCTGCGGGAGGCACCAGTAAAGAAAGTGGAATGGATAATCTTGATCCCTGTAAAAAAAGGTTAGAGAAAGGCTAAAGAGAAGAGACTTCTTAGTTAACAATATTCTTAAAAGTTTGGTAAATGATAAAGTACAATGGTATCGTGCAACCCATAAAGCCGATCACATGAGATAAGACTTCTTGTAGCATCACAGCAACTGATTTACTTAGTTCCTCATTTGTCCAAATGAACTTGTCATACAGGATTACAAAATATGATCAAGCTAAAAGGAAACAACCCAAATTTTCAACATATGAGATAATTTCATATTCAGTCTTTCAATTATAATATCAAGTCCCTAGTCAACCTAATGATAATAAAAAATTGACTTTCATCAATTGATACGGCCTCTATAAAATCGATCCTATAATAACACTCATGAAATTATGTTTCACCATTGACAAAAGAAACCAAAATCGAATTACGCAAACTTGCAGCTAATATTAGTCAGCTAGCACATGATTGTTTCATGTGGCGCCATCAGTTGCTACTAGGACAATTAATGCATAATATGAAGTTTGGACCATCAAAAAGAAAATGTAATGCGATCACGAACTGCTTACCTCAACCAATAACAAAGCTGCGATTCGATCTTTCACAAATTTAAGGATCAGCGCATGATATCTTTTCTCTTTTGGTTGTCTTCGTAAATATTCTAACGTCCAATATCGTAGACTACTGCTGCAAAGCTTCCTCACTGTTCTAACTCTGTCATTTACAACTGCCGCTATCCCTTCAAGCTGACCAGCCGAAAAAGGGGGAGGCGCACCCCGTATAAATGCCTTCACCTGAAGGAAGCAAACAAACCACACACCCACACACAGCCAAAAAAGGATGTTAAAAAGACCTTTTTAGGAAAATACCAGCAGGCAGTATGGCGCCTCAAAATTACTAAATTCATTAACGCTTCAAGTTACATTTACAAGACTCGCATAACATTTCTTTCACCATCAATATATGACTTACTCTAAAGCCATCAATCAAAGAATAATCACTTAGTAAAAGGCGGAAAAACAGATTTAGATGATAAAATTTATAATTGACATGCCATATGAAGGCAAATCTCATGCCGAATAGAAACAAAATGTACATAAAGATCCAAATTGTCAGGCACAGAAATGCCTTTTCTTTTGTAATTGTTATTCTACTTCAACTAGCAAAGGATGAATTTTGTAACCTAATTACATCCAAGATGAGAAATTTATAAGTGAGTGACGGTACAATAAACTATCATTTTGTAAAGTTATTTTCCTTACAAGATAGGCAGGCATTTTACAAGAACTCATGATTTTTATTTTCAGAGGCAGTATGTAATTACATTGGAATTTTTATAAGAAATTTAACACTTTATTTTCCAAGGGTCATTTTTTAATTCACAAATAACTTCTGCACAAATTTTACAAATTATTAAAACTTGGGAGAAAGACCTTTGCTGGTCTCCTCTTAAGTACGGCTGTCATGTTCGGACAAGAGAAAGCTAAGAGATGTAAGAAGTCGAGGATTGACAGCAAAACTCTCAAAATTCATAGATTTTTTTTTTTGGGAGAAAACAAGCAAGTATGCCATCGTCTAGACTTCAAAAGGTTACTCAAAATTAAAAAGATTGCCATATTGCCCTAAGAAGACTACCAAGTTATGGCTTTTGAAGTTTCATCTTCTACCCTTGTGTTTGCTTCATGTTTCCTTGTTTGGACCTACATTGTTTTCATTTTCGCTAGATGTATTTTACAAAATCATATAAAAAATAGTGATCATAAGGCTAAAGGGGTCAAGTGGTCGCACAGATATGATCTTTTAAAATCTCTAATTCCTATATGATGTTTTAAATTTCCTTCCCCCCCCCCCCGGGGGGTGTTGACAGGCTATAAGATAGGCCAGGTACAAAACTCAGCTTGGTATATGCCCTGCCTATGTCTATCCCTACAAAAAATGATTAAAATTTGGCAGATGATAAAATCTTCTAGCAGGCATCTTAATATTTGAAATCTAATCATACACAGAATGATTGAAGGGAAATTACCTGATAATGCGCAATAAGATCCAAATATCTACGTATGGGAGATGTAAACTGAACATAACCAGGAAGTCCTAAAACCCCATGGCGCATTGGCTTCCTGAAATCAATTTCAGCAGCACGCATTACTCTGACCAAGGCAAAGCTCCTAACAGGTCCTTCTGGAAGGTGTGCAAATTCAGACATATCTAAGTCTGACTGGGGCTGTCCCCTATAGGGTAAAGGGATGCCATTCTGGGATCCAATTGTAGCTATGGCTTCACCACAGAGTATCATCATCTCTGAGACTAATCGCATTGCAGGATCAGCTTGGTTTTCAACATAAAGATTTATTGATGGTTCAGAATCCTCTGGATTAGGCACTTTAATGCGAGTTTCTATGGTTGCTGTCTCAACTGCACCCTGAGTGAAGGGAGAGAGAAAGGTTGACATATTTTAAAAAAAAAAAAAAAACTTTGACAAATGAAGCAAATTTTGACACAAGAAGCTTGTTCAATGTTTTAATGGATTGACAACAAAAGCATGTTTGATGTTACCATCACTAAGACAAATTATCAACTAATCTAAACTAACTAGTAAATAGATAACAAGTCATTCCGTAAATTCCTTATTGTCTTGCTTAAATGATCTTGGAGATTGTGTAATGATCATTCTAAAATTTTTTGCTTACATGGTAAAATAATAACGAAATCTTGTGATTCTGGGGCTGAATCAAAGTTCCAAAAAAACTGTAATATTATCACTAAGTTAATTGATAGGTACTATGTTTTATAATTAATTTGGCAGTGTTGGAAGATAAAAAGGCATGAACAGTGAATATTGGTAAGGATACTAAATAGATTTGAGCAGAATGACAGGTATGTTTTCTTTCATAAATTATCCCCTCACTTTTCCTCAGAAAAATAACTTCTAAAGCACACTCCATTTCAACAAGATTTCAAACTGCATCACATGTAACTGGCTTAAGCTAAGAAACAGCTTCTTTTACCAGCAGCAATAGCTAAATGGACTGCAATCGTTGGGCTGAAGACAATGATTTTAATTTAGCACAAAAAACAGGAAAATAAAAAACAACTACCTTGAAACACAAGAGTTTATGGGGAAAAAAAAAGGAAGAAGAAAGAAAAACAAAACTTTGCAAGCTGAACCAACTAAAACCAACCTGCTGGCGTCGCCAATTCAAACGGAGATTTGCAGCCTCAGACAAAATTCTTAGTTCAACCTCCTCCTCAAGGTTCAAATGAAGTAGCTCAGATGCACTTTCATATGTCAGCATGTATGTTGGCTTAATGACTGAGTTGTCCACTGAACATTCTGCAATGCTGTTACAGCCACAAAAGACTTCATTAACCGATCATTTTCCAAACCCCACCCCCTTCAGTATGGGTTTTTTTTTCTTTTTTTTCTTTTGTTTTTTTGGGGGGGGAGGCATGATATACATATAAAAAAACCTTTGGGAGGAAAGAACAAGGACTCCTTCTAAGAAAAAAGGAGAAGAAAAGATAAAGCAGAGCCTTCCACTTCCTAAGCAATCCCCAGGAGGGGGTTAGCAAAATATGTCTGCTGTATATGTTACATGCAACATATTGTGATCTGCAGATCCAGAATAAAGGATGAACTTAAAACTCAATGAAATATTAAAAATGCATCCAACTTTCACAGATTTACAACAGGATGTTGTCTCGTCAACCCCAGTCCTTCAAATAAATAATTTCTTTCAGACAGGTTTCCTTGATTGTGAATGTCATAGTCTACATGTTATCAGGCGATTTATACAAGATGCACCCCACAACCTAAAAATTTACCTGCCATCATTATGCAGCACAATGGATACTGTAACAGCATTACAATGCTCTCCTTGTCTCAAACTCATACCACTCATGGCAAGTTTATCTGGAAACATAGGATATGTGGCAATTGGCAAAAAAACAGAAGTCCCTCTTCTCATAGCCTCCCTACATGACACGAAGCACATGAAAGAATAAAGTTAGCACCCAAGCTTCACTGAAATATCTACTTGAATACCAACCATATACCTGTCTAAAATACTTCCAGGTCGAACATATCTTGTTGGGTCTGCAACATGTATCCAAACTTTAAGGCGACCATCTTGCAACCTTGTTGCACTCAAAGCATCATCAAGCTAAATATTATTGTTGTTGGTTAATAAAATTATAGGCTATCCAAATTTCAATGTCACAAGGGGAAAAAAGGGTCTTTACCTCATCAGCTTCATCAACATCAATAGCATAAACCTTCAAAGCAGTAAAATCCTTCCTGTTAATCTGGAAGCCAGTAACATGAAATAAGCATCTAATTCGAATAGACTTGTAAGACATAACCAAGTAGAAACAACCAAATGAATAAGAAACCCTCAGCATAACTATAAAACCTAATCCTTAAGGCTGTATAGTCTATTTGGTTAGGATCAGGTTCCCCCGCCCTTCTAATTTGACTATCTAATCCAACCACAAGTCAAAGGTTAATTCATCAAAGACAATCCAGTTGTGCATCCTCATATGTTGGCTAGGGTTAGTATGGTTAAACATTTAAAAAATTTCAACATTAGCAATGCCTTGGAATTGAAAGTTTCAGCTGCAAGAATACACAACATCAAAAAGGCAGAACTTAAGGTCACAAATCTGCATGGGACAATCCTACCAAGCAGAATTAACCTTCCGTCTTAGGAAGTAATAACCTTCCAATACATATACCCAATACAATATGCATGATGCCTTACTATTTTCCAAGATAGGGTTAGTGACTAGGAGGTGATTGTATAGCATTTATTAGCCTTTTATTCTCTTGCCTTTTCCCTCCATATATATATTTGGATGTACCTTACTATTCAGATCAATGAGAAATACCCTTTCTCCCAAATCTCGTACAAAGAATGATTTATTTGAATCAACTTTCTACTTCAAGATACATGGGATTCAAGGAACGGGATGAGGGAATATAATGAATATATCTTAAATAGATATTATTATTAAGACTCACTACTACTGGAATAGGATACACCACAATAAGTGAAACTCAGATCACATGGTACCTCCTCTGGTCTTAAAACGTGGGGATATAACATGCTGGGTATTCAACATTACATATAAGTATTATTAGGCAAACAAGACTTACTTCATCTACATCAGATGAGTCTACTAGAAGACTATCAGCAACTGATATAATTTCTTCTGAATGACTGGTAGGAATTCCTAACTTCAACAAATCAAGATTGACATGTACAGGAAAATATCCAATATCTATCAGGAGATTTACAGCTGAAGATGCTGTTTTCGTCAAACCCATTTCCTTAAGAATCTGCTAGCAGAGAAAAAGAAGAGTCATTAGAAGAACAGAACAATCAATACATTTATATAAATAGAAATAAAATCAACAGTTAAAATATGCAAATTTAAAATTCTCTACTGTCATCCCTAATCGAAGTCAGTTGAAAACACCATGTCAGTGTTTCACTTGAAAAGAAGCATCAATTATAAGTCAAATGAAAAACAGCTTAGGTGGTTTGAGTCGGAGTACCATCCCAGCTGTTTTTCTTTGTTCATCATTTTTACATGCATCAATAGCATATGCTTCTAATGACTCAATTCGACTCCAGATTTTCTCTTCACCCATCCATGAAGCTTTGGGAGGTTTATTTTGTAAAGGCATTGATTTTGCCGAGCAAAGCAATTCCACAAAATCCTGTAGTTCTTTTTCAGATGCTTCCTTTGCAGCCTTCCTACGCATAAGCTCCTCAACCTTCCCTTTCAGAATTAAAAAAAAGAGAAAAACAATTATGTTTCTATGTAGACATTCCTATTAAGCTGGTAAATAATGTATATACACACCCTCATACAATCAAGCACATTTCATGGATTTTCAGTTTCACAATTTCATAATCAGCACTTCAAGTGATGAATAAAGCACAGACAAACAAAATAATCTCCTCTAACAAATAACTCTGGAAGCATATTTTCAATGCAAGATTGATCAAAAAATGTTCAGGAAACCTTTGTGCATTTTGATGCTGTGTTACTATTAGTAGTATTTTATCTTTGAGATGAACTTTTACTGCTAATTAATAAAGCAACTAAGTGATTGAAAGTCCTAAATATTATAGAAATTTATTGAGCCATAGTCCTAGTTTACATAAAAATGATAGGTAAACAACTCCCAAAATAATGTAACATTTTTGTGCATTTTGCATAATGAATATTCTTTTTGCCCTATGATGCTAATCAGAACCAGGAAGGAATATATCTACCTGTTCAGTTGGTCGAGGCTTGTAAATGGTAAGAGAGCCCTTGGTCTCCTGCACAGTGAAGTATACTTCATCTTTCGAAAGCAACATATGAGCAGAATAGCTCTCAAGAGGCTCGGCATTGCCAAAAATCATCTGCAGAACAAGCATATAAGTAGTAAGGATCTACAATGCATACTTTGACATCAAGTCCAGAAATCATTCTACCTCAGCCAATTCTTCTGCTGTCACTGACTTGTTCTTTTCCAGAAGCTCAATCCAAGCAAATTCAAGTAGTGATGGATCCTGCATTACATCAGCAGGATACTACTAATTAACTGAAGCAAACAGTTAGAAAAATGATCATCATCTACCATAATAACGTGATAACCCACCAAGTTGTCCTTAGCTTTCTGGAGAAAGCCTCCAATATCAGATTGGTCAAAGTTACTGATACCAGGGACAATGTATGTCACTTGTTGTGGTTTAATTGAAGAAGTGGAACCATTCTACAGCCCGATATAACCAAGGAATAGTTAGGCAAAATAAAAAAAAAAAATGATAATGTTTAGCATTTGAAATATAAGGAGTTCCAACACCTAGCAACCTATACAACATGCCGCATTATGTTGTTTCTACTTGAACCTGATCAGAAACCATCCAGTTCTTCTTGCCATCAGGCCTCTGAGCAACTGCTAGCAATATTTTATCGGAATCCTTCTTGAACTCCAAAAGCAACCCTTTTTGCAATGAACGGCTCACAAGCCTATCTTCAAGAATTTCTTCACCCATCAATCCCCTGCTGTAAAGTCAAAATTTAAATTTAAGATGATGTTTGAAGTGATGGCAGAACAATGAGTCTGATAAATCAGGTTTTTCACGTAAATTTACAAGACTCCCTTTCCGCAAGTTATTTCAAATGTGATTATGAAAAAATGTCAAGACCTTTTTTCCACATGGATTATAAAAATTGTCAAAAATCATTTTTTTAATTAATAGAAATCTTTTAGAGGAAGTTGTTCTAAATAAAAATATTTCCTATGAAATGAACAACAAAGAAAATAAGAGGGAACATTTCCTTACTTTGCGAAACAAGCATTGTTCCTTCCGAATACTGTTTTGAAAGAAATTTTCAGAAATTGATTCATGTTTATCAAGAAATTTTCTATTTTCAGGTTCAATTGCTCATCCAAATGATTTCAGGGTTCATCTTACCACTCACAATACTTAGAGCCATTTACTTTGTGTGTATAACTGTATATATATTGGCCAATTAGAATCCATTTACATTCTTAGAAAACCTATCATCTGTATCCACATTAAGGCTCCTAACCAAAATAATCACTCAGGCCCCAATTATAGCCTCTCCCTCTACACCCAATGTTGAACTGCAAGTTCTATTGGGTAGTTTGTACTCTTGAAACAAATAAGAAATCAGAATCAATTCAAGATGATAGGGATGAACCCCTCTTCTTTCACCAAAGATCCTACATTTCCAAAGTAACTAGAGTTATACACCTATATATATATTGACACTTCAATTTGAGAAATCTAATGTGCACCACAAAGCATGATAAGTCTTGATTAAGATGCATCAACATGTTTTTTGAAGATAAAAAAGGTCGAAAACCTGCTTAAGAATGAACAGCCTACTGAATTTCAAAACTCGAATGATAGTCAACCGACCAAGCCTGATTGTATGTTTTCTACTGGGGCTCTTTTGTTGAAATGTTTAAGAGTCAAAAAAAAATTGGATGCAGAGAAATAAAAAAAGAACTGGGTATATGTACACGGAAGCGTTGGTAGCTCTTTTCCTGCTTCTGCGAATGTCTTTGAGCTCTTCCATGACGCTCTCGACGAGACTTTGGAAGGTACAGCTTCGAACACCACCATAGTTGAAGAAATGAGATTGAAAATGGAACAGGGGTGTACGCCGGGAACTCAGTTCGCGGTAGCAATGAACCTGCAAGTTGCTGAAGTGGCAGAGGCAGCAGCATCTACGAAACGCCGAGAGGGAAGGGGATGAAGAGCAAAAAATAGAGCTGCTATTAACTGCTCTAACTGCCATAGTAGCGTCTGATAGAGGAAAAGTTTAGAGCCTCATGAGTTTTCCAGACCGAATGGTGGATTGGGTTGAGCTTTGAGAAAACAACTGCGATTGCTTCGCAAAGATAATGGCTCCAGAATAAGACGGAAAATTCTGCAATTACCAAAACACCCCAATTTCACCATAACAGGTCTTTCAATGTTAATTCTACAAATTTTGCAAGTATTCTCACGCTTCAGAAACTAATTTCTCAAATTAATGTATGGCGCTGAGCTACTGATAATAATTAAAATTAAAATTAAGAGTATATTATGTTTATGTCATGAACAATGGAATAAAAAAAGGATAATTAAAAAACTAGTTTAAGAATTAATAATAAAAAAAATTAGGATTATGCATGATCACCTCTATCCAATATGCAGTTTAGGTCAGCCCAATGCTCAAGTGTTTGGGCCAAATTTGGCTTAGTGAAAAATTTGCAAATATTTTTTCAAAAAATTTCTTTGAAAAAACAAAACTAACATTATAATCAAAAATAATTTTTTTAATTACAGATAATCAACAACTATGAATTATTTTTTTATAACATTAAGTTAAAAATAAATTTTAAAAGATAGTAAAAAATTATTTAAAAAGATCATAAAAATAATATAATTTATAATAACTATCAACAAAAATTAATATCATAAAATAAATATTACTCACAAAAAAATTTAAAAAATTAGGCCTGCAAGATGGGATTTGACTCTTGCCCCAATTCTCAACCATGTGCCAAAATGGCTCAAGCGAGACGAAATTGATCATGTTTTTAAGCATTGTGCATAGTTCTAGTCAAAATCACAATTGAATTGTAATCAAACTAATCATAAACAAAATATTTGATCAAATTGGTGAAACAGTGTGATTTGCTTCCTCCATTCAAAAATATAAGATATTTTTTAAGAAGTTAAATGTTAAAAAATATAAAGCATTTTTAGTCTTTCGAGGTGTAATCATTGCTTTTTTTTAAAAAATATCCCTATTAATAATAACTTTATATTTATTATAAAGTGTTTAATAGGAATAAATATAAAAAATATGTTAGTTTAAAAGTAAATAACTACTTTATTGGGAGGTAAGATTTGATTAAAAATACTTTATATTTTTTAACGGAGGAAGTACTTATTTAACTAACCAGATTAATCTGATTTTTGACACTGTGATGAATATATCCATCTCCAAGCTGCCTCTTCATCTTTCTTTTTTTTTAAATATCCCACTATTCTATACCTATTTCTTTAATCTTGTAACTCAACTCCCACTCACAATCATAAGTTTCATTATCCATTACATGTTCGATGTGTAAGATCGTGCTCATAAATAGAATATATCGTTTGTATTGTGAGATCCAATAAAAATCCTCTCGTTCCTCTTGTTTCCACTTCTTCTGTACATTTTACTTTTTTTTTTTTGTTTATTCTACAATAGTTTATCCTTTCTCCAACATAAAAATTATTGTTGTAACCTTATTTCCGTCATATTTGATATTTTAAATACATCAAATATAAATTATTTCGTGTGAATTCACAAACTAAAGTTATACTTAAAATATAAAGGATATGTGAACAAATTATTCTCGAACTTTTGATTCGATAGTACCATAGTCTTTGAACTTATTTATTATGCAAATTATTTTTCAACTTTTAAAAATGATGCAATCTGGCCTCTTTTGTTAACAAAAATTAATTATGATAGTTAATTAACTAGAAAATGACATAAAAGGATCCCAAAAAAACACAGAAAATGACCCATAAAAGTATAATAAAGGGTCCAAAAATTACAAACAAAGATCCAAAAAATTGCATGAAATGACCAAAAATAATTTGGGTTATTTTTTGTAATTTTTTATATTTTTTGTATCATTTTTTGATCAACTAATTATTAAAGTTAATTTTATTAATAGCAAGAGTCAGACTGTATTATTTTCAAACATTAAGAAATAATTTATATAATAAATAAGTTTAAGGTTGATAGCACTACTAAACCAAAAATTTGGGGGATAATTTGATCATGTTTTCAAATATTAATTCATCTTAAGATTATTTGGATTATATTTTTGCTTTCTCTATAAATATTTAATTTCTTGGAGATATAGTCATAAATAAATAGCATGCAACAATAATTATATGAAGATTAAAATAAACAGCATTATCTATTCACATTTCACAATTTATAAATAGTATAAAAATCTCTCACTGTTCCCGCAAGCTTTTATTCATTTTTTAATTGCTATGCATGTATAACATATATTAATTGCCCTCGGCTGAAGAATAAGCTTCACTGCTTGAAGGTTTATATTCTTAATTTCTTGCGTGTGAATGGACAGTGGAAACAATGAGCCAGACGTGTGGTATGAGTATAACTGGTTGTTGATTATCAATGAGATTGGATATATTATATATGGGGTCCAAATTATGTGAAATTAGAGATAGTTTAGGTATGATTCAGTGATTAATAGTGGAGCAATTGATTTTTTTTTTAATGTTGTTGGTTCAGTGTTTTGGTGTAATATTTGGGATGGAAGAATGTTTGATACTTATGAACTGGTTTTTTAAAAAAGATTAAGGACAATTAAAAATGTGTTCTACCAATAGTCGTACCAATAGTTGATGATTGCACTTGGGATTGATTAGTTAGTCTCGATAGGGAAAATATCTTGTTTGAATTTGTATTAGTATATTATTTTTTTAAAACAAAAAATATAAATGAGTTGAATTTCAAAAGCTGATGAGAATAAAGACATGTTTTTAGATATAAAAAGTATTTAGAAAAGTATTTGTAAATTGTCCATCACCAAGTTCTTCATACCAAAAGGAAAATATGCAAACAAAATTGAGATATAAGAATAAAAAATGTATATGAAATATTTATTATATCCTTATTATTATTATCATTCAATAACAGTTATGTTTTAATTATATTTTAGAGTGTAAATCGGAGTTCTTGATACTCATTCTACCCCTTTCCACTATATTAAAGTTGCCCTCGTGATGCAAATGAGCTGAAGATGTATAGTTTTTTGCAAGTATCATATCATATTTAACATTAAGGGGCATAAAATCAATCTATTTAACTTTATCGAGGCATTGAATGCATGTCCGAAGGCAAAGGGCATCATCAGCTATAAATAGAGCAGGGTTTCACATGAGCCTCAAACAATCAAAAAACAAAATATGGACAAATGAATAAACAGCTCATAGCAACTCCTAACACCATCTCCTTCCCTATCAAAACTCAAGTACAGAGCTGAGTGCACAACTGCTGGATCTGTGAATCGGTTGGGTCTTGAATCAGATAGGTGCTGGATTTCCCACTGTTTGAGCAAGTCATGTTCAGCTGACTGCCAAGTTGGCTTGTCTGCAATGATACAATTCCAGCAAGCATTAATTCATGCATTCACAGCACAAGCAGAATAGACCAATGGCCACGTTAAACGTTGAGTCAAACAAAAAAAAAATGATCGAAAAATGACATTTAAGGACCTTCTAAATAATTAATTACAGCTAAGAACTCTAAAATTATGAAATTTCAAAAAAATAAAAACGATCATGGTCCTTAGTTTGGATTAAAATTTTTCTGGTTAGATTTTTGAGTATTTATCTTCTACATTTTCAACAGTCATGTTTATTATTTTCAGTACACAGTTTATCTTTTCTTTCCTTAGATGTTTCAATACCAAACTTCCATGGTTTTAATACTAAAAGAAAAATTTAAAAATAAGTGTTTTTCAGTACTGAAAACATGAAAGATGAATATTGAAAACATATAAAATGACTAAAATCCTTAACTGTAAATAATGTTCTTAGAAGGTCTTTAAATATTATTCTTCCAAATTTTATTTTTAAGGCCTGCAACTGTCAATAGCTTAATTTTTAAAGTTCATGCAATTGTTTATACAAGACTAGGATATACAGCATTGAATCTTAAACATGTCAAGAGAGTGGTTACAAGGTGCATTGCTGATGCTTAAATAAGATCAAAACTTCTTGTTTTGAAACTTCTACGGTCTAATAAAGTTATTCCATGAAGAGCTCTTCTGCTACCCAAAAAAAAAGTTATTCAATGAAGAGTGATTCAGGAATGATGTTGCAAAAATACTTACTAAACAAGATGAAGGCTCGTTATTGCAACTCCATCTTGAAGTTGGGACACAAGACAGATAATGGCACCAAGAGCAATGATCATTGGCATCCACACCACGGAGAAGTGCAATAAGGCCAACAGTAATTCTGTCAAATTGACAATATAATATTAGCTCAATCTCCGGAACAGGACAAAAATGCAAAATGTCAAGTGACAAGACAAGCAAGGATACAGTTGGAGGAGGCAGCAGGAGAAATTTTTTGGTCCCCAAAAGATGACTAACTTCTCAATTTGGCCATTCAAAACAATCAACGTCCCAATGAATCCCCCAATAATTTTTCCAATTATTTGGTTCTTTGAAGGACCAAATTGAGAAGTTAGTTGCCATGATTATTGAGGAATTAAATTGAAAAGATTACACTTTCGAGAACCAAATTAAAAAGCTCCTCTTCTTTAGGATGAAAACAGTATTTTATTCTATATTATGTTATAACATCAAGCAAATAACTTCGCTTCTCATGCTATATACATCTTTCGGAACATGGTCTACTCCACCCAACCAACTGAAACACAGGTTTCATGCTACCTGTCACTAGGGTTAAGCCTTGAGCAGCATCTCCTTTTATATATAGGTTTGTTAGTGCAATATGATCTTAGAAAGAGCAACACTGTGGATTCTTACCCGGCAACAACAAGGATCAGAGAGAGCATAAATAAGATGCACTGATATTTTTTGAACTTAGATCTAATTGAGGCAGAAGAGTAATCTGAAGAACCATATCTTTGGCTAACCCAACCAAACTGAGGACGGATCAGGAACACAAATCCAAGAAGAAATCCTGTAATAAATCCTCCAAGATGAGCAAAATTGTCCACATGTGGGAGGATTCCTACAGCTAGATTGACTGCAACGATAATCACTAGAGTGAAGAGTGCTGCAAACTGCAAATATCAGAGTATGAAAAGTTGGATTTAAGAGCAGAAGTTTTCCTTTTCAGGAAATCAGATTTCAAATAGGAGAAATTTTATGATCACCTTGTTATCATACATAGACCAATTAGTAATGAGTTCAGAAAGCATGGCTCCGAGCAATCCAAAAAGAGCCCCAGAGGCACCCACTGAGATGTTTGACTGAATGAATAGACCAGAAAGCAGACTTCCCCCAAATCCAGAAATCACAAATAGCAATCCAATACGCACTGTAATACAACAATATCAGAAACAGGAAAGTAGTTAGTTCTAAGTGATGCAAATAATAACATAAATACAGAAAGCCATCTCCACAAGAGAAAGTCAAAATAAAGAATCTTTAGTGTCACTTTGATATAGTTATCAAATTATAAACAGCACAAACCACAGCACCATTCAAGCAAATGATTCTGTGATTTAACGTTGCATTATAGCTTATAAATAAGCATTATGTTATTTTTAATTTCAAATTTGAGAAAAAGTAGATAACAGTAAGCATGGAATCAAACAGTAAACAAGTATTTTGAACGTTACTTTACTTTTATCATAACTGATCAGGCACAGAACTACTTTGAATTAAGGACAGACTTTGTGAGGATGATGTTCATGGATTCAAAGGAAGATTTTGTTCAATTTAAGGAGGGGGAAAAAAAAAAGGCTCATCCTCTCCTGTGTAATGGGGTCAAATTGATTTTGATTGACACCGGTATAAATGGATTCCTCCCATATATACATAAAACCATTGTTTTATATCTAGATGCTACCATGCCCGGATGTTTAGCCAACTATCAATTTGGAGAAGGAAATCAACCTCGCAGCCTTAAGGAGAAAATAAAAGGTCTTAATTTGAGACAGAATACATACAGAACCCAAATTCTTGCTCAAGCCGGATCCCGATTATCAGAATACCCAACATATTTGCCAACACATGGAAGACACCACCATGTAACCACATGCAAGTGATGAGGCGCCAGCCCTGGTGTCTGTGAACCACTCTAGCTACATCAAGAGCTCCCATCTTCTGTAGCCTGAGCAAAAAAATAGAAATCACCTCTTCAATTTGCAGTTACAGCCATGGATTTCGTTCCCAGAAAAAAAAAAAAAAATCACAACAGATTGCAACAAGCTACAATCTTAAAATTCAGTCCCACACGTGAAAATTATCAATTCCAATACAACTACATCTCTATCCCCATTTAAACACTGAGTTAATATATGAGTAACATATTAACGGTTTTGAGGATCAGGGACAACTCACGTTAATGAAGAAGGCCCGAGAAGAGGGTTCTCTTTGAGCGGCTGAAAGGAGAAACGACCGAGGAAGCGGGCGACGCAAGAGACAGAGTTTTTGGGGCAATTGTTGACGTACATGGTAATTACAAACACAACGATGTTGGCAATAACAATGAGAGGAATTAGCCAGGTAAACCATCTCTTGAATTGCTTTGCTTCGGTATATTCCACAGGGGTTCTACTTGTTGAATAGGGCAGAGCCGCGTCCGCCTCCGCTGGGTGTATCACATTGTTGTTCTTCCCAGAATTGATCCTCAGGTGGATCTCCGACGGTGGAGGTGGCTCTGCCGCCATGGACAATGAACTCGGTGAAGCTAAACGGTGACGAGAGACTTCGATTGATGAGTATGTATTGTTGAGGCTAAATCTGATCAAAATTCAGAAGAAAGCTAAGCTTGAAACTGCAAATTGCGATGTTTAAGTTAAAGTCAGAAAAAGATGGTGATTAGTCAAAAAATTCACAATCAAGCGCTTTGCTTTCCCACCGAACGCCATTTGTCTATGCTTCTTTTAAAACGAATGAATCAATCAATCAATTGTTATTTATTTATTATTTAATTATTATTAAAATTGGACGTCTGCTTGGTGGTTTATTTGTTCAAGGAGTTGAAAAGGAACAATTTTATGATCATGCTCATCCTTGACATTTTAAATGCTGCCATGAAAAAGAAATATGCTGACTTTTGTTCTCTCTCTCTCTCTCTCTCTGTGGATTTCAAATATAGCTCACCAATAAGCATGCGATATTTTAAAAAGAAGAGATTAAATTTATTAAATTGAAAGTATGTCAATTAGATCCCAAAAAATCAATTTAATCATAATAAGGTTCATGACAAATTTTTTAAACAATAATTTATAAATATCGATTTTAACAGTTATTTAATTAAATTTTTATAATCTCCTTAGATTATCATGTCATAAAAAAAATCTTAGATTATCATAATTTAAAAATAAAAATATTTAGAATATCTATTAGATTAAATTAATTAAGATATGATTAGACTTTTTATCATTTTCTTTTTTATAATCATTTTAGATTTTATTTATTTTCAATAAAATGGGATATCTAGGTCGTCTATATTATTTTGATTGTATCTTTTAAAATTATACTAGATAGATATAATTTGAATTATTTTAATATTTTGAAGATTTTAAAAGTAGCCTTAATTAAGATTTCTCATAGGAAATGGACTTTGATTTATTGAATAAAGAGTTGCATTCCCCTTTTTTCTCCTCTACGCCCTCTCTCCACTTGAAAATTGAAATCTCTCATATTTATTTAGAAAAAATTACATATAAATCCTTTGAAGTATATTTATTTATAAATAAATCTTGTAAAATTTTAAAAAGATAACTAAGTCCTTTACACCTAGGTATAATTTAAAATTAAAATTAAAAATTAATAATATTCTTATTAAAAATACATTATATCCAGCGATAGTGTCAGGACTTTGGGATGCAATATTTTAAAAATTGAGCTAAAAGCAGCAATATGTTAGAATACATAAACTTTTTTTATAATCTTTTCCAAACAGAAGGAATGCATTTGCCCCTGCCTAAAAAATGTAGCATCGTTCATTATTACATTAACCAAATAATTTATAATTATTTTATTAATATTTTTTTCATCTCAAATTATAAAGTACTTTTAAAAAAGTTTCTCTATCTCAAAATATAAAATACTTTGAGTAAATTAATATTTCATTAAATGTTTCAATTCTAATATTACCCTTTCTCTCTCTATAATTAATTTTTATCACTTCTTTTTTCAATATATTAAATGATGAAAATTTTTAAAAGTTTATATTTTTATTTTAAAAGATAAAATTATTAAGTGTATTTAATAAGATTTTATTGATATATAAAATTTTATCTAAAAGTGCTTTATAATTTGAGATGGAGGGAGTAATTTATAATTATCACTCTAACTTTTTACAATTATAACTTTAATTTTTTACATCAAATATTTAAACATTTTTAATCATTAAATATGTGAAGGTACCGTGTAAAAAATAAAATGATAGTTGCAAATTACTGATAAAGCAATTGTAAACAATTAATATTAAACTTTTTAATAATTTATAATTAATTTAACCATTAGATATGCAAAGTTATTGTTATAAAAAGTTAAAGTAATAGTGATATATTATTAATGAAATAATTATAAATTATTTAATTAATATAAATATATTTTAATAGAGCATTATTATTTTTTAACTTTAATTTTAAATTACACTCAAGTTTTAAAAAAACTTAATCACAATTTTCAAATTTTATAAAATTTATTTATAAATAAATCTGTTTCACGTTGCCAATATGTAATTTTGTGGAAGCAGCAACTTTTATCCCTTGGTTTCGAACAAATAACATCATTTTTGGGCCAAAAAAAAAAGAATGAATAAACAAAATTTTGTTGAGCAATAACTATCCTATGCATAATAATACATGGGGAATTCTATTTAAAAATATGTAAAGTATCAACACGAAACTTAATCGTTGGCATTTTAAAAAAAAAGAACGATTAATTTCTTTCAAAATAACAAAGAGGAAATATTCTAATACCGATCCAACGCTTTGTTAAACTAATTTTATTTAAAAATGAAATAAAAAAGAATGTTGACGTGTACGTTTAGGTACGGGTTGATAAACAGATCGATGGCATCGGGCGTTGATTTTTTTTTTTTATTTCTAAGAATTATACTATATTTTGATTAATTCAAATAAAATTAAATAAATTCACGCAAGAGAAACATTATCTATCATTTAACTAACATTTTTTTTTACAATTATCTGAAATTCGATATTAATAAGTCATATTTAAGTATTATCAGATTTAACTGAGGGTAACTAGCTTTCTCAATTTTTTTTTTTTACATTTTCATTCAACTAGCATTATTTTAGGCATCTTATATAATTATTATATTTTGGTTGACATTATATATATTGACAAAATAGGTATATAAAAGTCAATCACAATCGTCACCTGAAACCACACACTAAATTGTACGTATGAGACATGACTTTGATCTAAAGCCAAGCATTGTTGTGCTACTTTTTTTTATTAGGCCATATATTCCAATTGCTATGTTGCATAATTAATTTCTTATACTCAAAATCACTTGAATCAAAACGCGAGAAAACATCATAAAGAGATGATCTCAAACTGATATAGACTTTTACGAGAAAGGAAGAGCTCCAATTTGGAATCTGGTGGGTTTGAGATCAAGGTCGGTAATATCTGCGAAGGAAAGAGAAACTAGAATAAAGTTTATTTATTTGCTAAAATACATATGCAGAATATGTGAATTGTGAGCAGACACGCTTACTTCTCCTAGATATGTAGACTGAAAGCGGCATTCAATTTGACTTTTACACGAAACTGAGCGTTGGATTCATCTTTTTCAAATTGGACTTTGCTACATAAATCAGGATTCCTTGTGAAGGCTGTACATGCCACGTGATATTTCAAGTCCCAGTATATACACACACTGATACACACACATGCGTATAGTTAAAGGGTATTTTTGTTTTAAAATTATTTTGCAAATAATATATGTTTAACTTAAGGGAAAATTGCATTAAGGATCATTTGGATGGAAATATTTGCAAAGAAGGCTTAATAAATTTTGAACTTTTACAGAGACTCAATGGCCTCAGTTATAGTTATATATATTCTCACTAAAATTATCAAGTTATTCCTTGCATAATTAGCTACTCCCCATCTTGACATTTTTTTCTTCTCTCCTTCCTCACTTTTCTTTCTTTCTCTTCCTTTTCTAACAAAGATGGGTGTTGGAGTGTTGGCAGCAGTGGAGGAATGTCTATGATATCATTCTCTAGGCTATCCTTCCTTTAGCAATCACTTCAGTCTTCTTCCTCTTCTTGTTCCTTGTTACTGTAAATGTGAGAAGAAGAACATTCAAGGTTAAGCTATGAAATTTTTTAAATGTGAGAAGAAGAATGTTGAAGGTTAAGCTCAAACTTTTATGGAACCTTCAAGTTTTGTAATTTTTGATATAGATATCACCTCCATTTTTTATAGGGGATGTAAAGGCTCTCGTGTAAATGTTATTTATAGAGTTTATGTTGTTATTTATAGAATATATATTGTGCAAATTTTTCAATTATACAAATGTCCATGTATACCATATAAACAAATATTGTATTGTTAATATATAAATCTTGTCATGTTATTTATGGGTATACTATTGTAAATTCTACTAGGGTAACTTATATATTCTAGTTCTATTGAAATATATGGATAATGTATAAAGTATGGTATGAACTTTTTGACATTATTTACGGATTTTATGTTATAAATTTCACTTGGGTAACTTATACATTCTTGAACTACTAAACCATACAAAAATTATATACAGATAGACGTTGTGTTGTTAATACATATATATTTTATTGTTATTTATGAATATTCTATTGTAAATTTTACCGCATGAAAATGTATAAAATATAGACATTGTGTTGTTAATATATGCACTGTCATGTTATTTACATATGTTTTATTGTAAATTCAACCTAGGTAATTTGTATATTTCATTGAAAATAATTTGTTCATTTCACATCGCAACAAGTATTTTCTAAATATACACCACAATATTTGACCTACATCCATTTACAAAAAAGCAACTTAAAATAACACAACACAATCCTAAAGTAATCCTAATTGCATTTGCATTCTGATACTTTTACTAGTCAAGTCATCCTATCATTTTTTGTTTTCCTTTAGAAGTTGTTATAAGGCCTCCCTCTCTCTTTCACTCATCTTGTTTCAAATTTTAATTGATGTATCATTTGAGTCTGTTAATTTCTTGCAGAGTCTTTTATTATCCTCCATATACACTACCATGTGAAAGCTTTATAGCAACATATGCATGAAGGTATGGTAGTCTTGACATCTGTCATGCCATCTCTTGTATGAACTTGCACCGAATAAATTAATAAAAAAAATGTCTACATATAGAAACTCAACTTTTATTTCCATAACTAAACATTCAATTTAAACAAGATAATGATTATATTTTTACAACACATAATCCAGTGTTTCGATAGGGCATTCATGCTAATGGACATGTCATGAATTCCTCAATTCACATGTAAACATATAATATAAACAAGTAAACCATCATAATTTCACAAACAAATAATCTACTTTAAAACATTCACTACCACCTTTAGCAACTAAATTAAATTATATCAGCAACCAAATTGCAACTATGATTCTAATTTTAACACCATTACAATGCATTTTTTATTAAAAAAATCCATCTCACATACACCCTGTATTATAGTTAGAAAATGAGTATTCTACATATGTTGTCAAGAAACAAATGAAGAATATATGAAATATATGAAAAGAGAAGCTTTAACAGATAATGATAGACTTTTAAGATATATGAAATGTATAAATATAAATATTTAATGGCGAAGGTGATGCTATCATTAGCCATGAGACAAAGTGTCATGCTCAAATCAAGAATGAAACTCACTTTCACATATATTTGTGTTTCTTTCTTATCATTTGTACCATATTTACATTGTCTGTGTGGTTTAGTAGAACTAAAATGTATAGGTTACCTTGATGAAATGAATTTACAATAGTATATCTATAACATGACAAGATCCATATATATATATATATATATATTAACAACACAAAGTCCGTTTATGTGGCATGCATGGACAACTACACAATTGCAAACTTTCTACAACATAAACTCCATAACTAATATCTTCACGAAAATATTTATACTTGTTATAAAAAGACAGAGGTGATATTTATGTTTAAAATTGCAAAACTTGAAGGTCCCATGAAAGTGAAAGTTTAACCTTTGACGTTCTTCTTCTCACATTCATAATAACAAGGAATGAGAAGAGGAAAGAGGCTAAAGTGATTGCTAAAGGAAGAATCTAGAGAGTGAGGCCATAGACATTCCTCCATCATCGCCTGCTACCTGCCAACATTGATAACACTCCAGTGTCATCATTGTTAGAAGAGGAAAAAGGAAGAGTGAGGAAGAAGGAAAGAAGAAGAAAATGTTGACATAGGAGTAGCTAATTCTGTGAGAGGTGACTTGGTAATTTCAACTAAAATATAATTACAAATAAGGCCCAAAGACTTGCATAAGAGTTTTCAAAATCTATTAGGCATTCTTTGTAAATATTTCCACTTTGAGGGCTCTTAATGCGATTTTCCCTTATCTTAAATTATTTGTTGAAACAATGTTATTCTTCAAATATTAAAATAGTTGGAATGTACTTGAAGGACAACATATTTTTTTTATATTGGTCATGTTCAAAAATTGTTGAATTCAATTTGGAAAGCTTTCACAAAGGTATTTTACGCAATTACACAAACTCAAACTTGAGATCTTATGTTTAAACAGGCACAACTCATTCCATTATAACTAATACCAGTTGATTATAGACAATAATATTAATGACCAAAATTTTCATCCAATGATACTTTAATTAAAAATAGGGTTAAAGAATAAAAATGTCCTAAAGCTTTTTAATTAAAAGTAGGATTGTGAACTTGGAGGCTAGAGCGACTACGACAAAAAGTGAATGAAAGGTAATAGGCAGGCAAATAAGACACGATGACCATGATGGGCAAGTGAATGATAGCGACATAACTTGGCTTTGTGTTGGTAGGAGAGTGAGGGTTGAGGCAAAAGTAAGACATAGAGAGAGAGAGATCAGACGAGTTCAAATTCCATTTGATTCTTAAACCCCCAACATTATCACTATCATCATGCAAGTCAAGAGACATGAAGCTAAAAAGAGCAATAAGAGCCTGGAATATATCTGTTCAAGAACATTTAAAAAATTTCAAAGTACTCATTTTGTTTAAAGCGATCAAATTTTGTTTTAGACTCAGCGAATCATTGCTAAAGTAATGTTTTGGGGTATCTTGATGATATACTTGCTCAAATGATTGACATCGAGTAAGTTGAAGCTCAAGATCCTTACTTTTCAAGTTGCAAAAACTACAAAGAAAACAAGGGAGTTTGTGGATTAAATTCATCCTGACCCACGTGACCAATTTATGTGTATTCACCTTGAATCTAAATCTAGCTTCTCATCTAATGAGAGTTAAAGGAGGTTAAATGGCAGTGGGGGTCATTGGCAAGGAGGAAAGGTTGAAGGCAAAGAGGGTGGCAAATGAAGAGAGTGGAGGTGAAAAGGGTAACATGTGTAAAGTTGTTGGATAAAAAAAGAGACTTAACGGCCACAAGTTAATCCATGTTAACAGTGGGCTAATATTGCTCATTTTTTGAAAGTTTTGGGGTGATATTATTCCATAAAAAAATTTAAAATACTAGGAACCTTTGGCAAAGGTATTATTTACCTTTAAATCCTTAAAGATATTATCACATAATGATACAACACTTCAATTAAAAATATTGGCCCATATTACAAAAAAAAAAATTTGGCCTACTCTGATGACCCTATTGGAGAAATACATGATTCCTGTTCAGCTTTTGGGCTTGGTGTATCCAATCCCAGTTGTGGAAGAATGAAGGGTTCAAACCAAAAAAAAAAAAAAAGAAAACTCAGTGTAAGGATTTGGCAAATGTGATTTATTGAATCTCATTTGGCAACCAAGATTAATACATGGAAATGTGATTTAATCCTACTGAGCACATGCATGATCGAGAGTAATGCATGAATAGCCTTAAAATGTTTTTTTTTTAATCTCAAACATGACAGATAGGGGAAGGTGATGAAAGAGGAAGAACTTTATTTGAAATAAGGCCTGCCAAGTCAATAATAGCAAGTAAACAACAGCGCCAAATGAAATGTAGGATATGCCTTAGAGCATCCATTAACAAAGTTGACATTCATTCCATAAGAGCTTGTTTAGATGACTTAAATGATTCAGTGCCCGTTTAAATTTTATTTAGATATAATAGATTATAAAAATAATTAATTAAAGAGTAAATTTTAAGTATCATTGATTACATTATAACACAATCTATTTGAATATAGTTTTTTCAAAATTGATTTTAATAGAATTAAAAATATTTAAATAATTTATTCAAAAATAATTTTAACTGTATAAATTATCATAAAGGATCATTACCTTTTAAAATTAAATTATTGAAAATTTATGTCTAATATTTAAAAATTAAAATATATTAGTTAAATTATATATATGATTAATTATAAAAATTTAAATTATATTACTATTAACAATTTTAATTTACATAAATAAATAACTCAATATATCTTAATTCAAATAAATTTAATAAAAGAGAAAGATTTAATTTTTAAATACCAAATATCAATTTTACAATAACTAATGAAGATGATAATGTACAAGTTAATCTCTAATGACATCATGCATATGAGCCATATCTAACGAAGATGTTAAACACTATTTAAAATTTTGACAACATAAAAAAAATAGCAATGTAACAAATGATGCAAAATTTCTTTCTCTGAACCTTTACAATAATTTTTGTAATGATCCTCAATTTTAAATTAAATTAAATTAAATTTTTTCTATTAATTAATATTTATTTAAATTAGTTGTATAGTAAGTGTTAAGTTGAGAGTGGTAATTGACAGGAACCTATGCTAGTAATTTTTTTAAAGATCCAAAATTTAATTTTACTAAGAAAAAAATAAGAGAGAAGAGAGTTTAATTTTAGTTTTATTAAATTTTGTACTTTTTTTATAATTTTTTTCTTGATCTTTTCTTGTAATTTTTCCATATTTCTTGAATAATTGAACGCATGAGCTAACTTTGGCAGCTTTGAAGCAAAAATCAATTTTTTGGATAAATGGGTGTTTAGATAGTTTTGGCAAAAATTAATTTTTCTGTCAAATAATTGATTAAAACTATTATACAAACACACGCTCAGTTCAATATTAAGAGTCAAAGACAGCAAGGAGTTACCATGCCAACATGAGTGACCCCAACTTCCATCAACATTCAAAAGTTTATGTTTTATTTACATGTATAATTTTATTTTAAATTATCTTATACTTTAAAATGAAAGAATTATTAGTTAATAATAGATCGTAGATGACAATAATAATATTAAATGTGAGATTAAATATAATATTTAATACTTAAATCTATCTATTTAAATGATATATAATATTAAAATAGATTGATTTTAGTTGGAGTATAATCTTTGAAAGTAGTTATAATTTTTTATTATTATCTTTAGTTTGTTAAAATTAATTAAAGTATATATTAAGTATTCTAAAAAATAAATTAAAAGGTGACAACTGACAAGCAGGAGAGCCCTCACTCGCTAGCAGGACAAAGGATGGCCAATGGGATGCCGGCTAAGCCAAACAAAGCTCCATGTGTTATTGGAAGTTTGGAACCTTTTCACGTCATGCTAATGCCTTGACAGCACTTGATGCTTCCTAAAGCCGTCCCTTCTGATTTTTCTAAGCCAAACAAACCCCAAACGTCACTCTCACGCTCCTCAACAAACGCGTCCTGGACTCGTCCACTTTTTCCCATTTTCATATCTTATTATCTTTCCCCACTTTCCATTCTCTTTGGACTTTTCAAACCAAAGAACCGCCAACCCGAATCGCTGCTCTTCCTAGCTGTTTCCCTAAACAACAATAATATCAGGAATATTTGTATTCTATATTGCTATATTTTAGCGCCCATCTCCTCCTCTAGATCGAATACGGGGAAACACATTTCAAGCTTCTCTCTTTTTGATTTCATCGACGATTCAATTATGGCTCCAAAGGATCCGAAGCAGGCCGCTGCAGCCGCTGCCGCTGCCGCCGGCGGCGGCGGCGGCTTCTTCGCTTCGATAGCTTCGACTCTGTCCAATTTCACCAAATCCGTTAATGGGTATAATTTTTCTCGGCTTATTTAGCTATTAGAACATCGGCAATTATTGGATTTCACTTTTTTTCCCGTTCTTTTCAAAATTCACGTTTTTTTTGTCATTCAAGATCTTGCCCTTTTCACAACTTAGTATTATCTTAATTGCTCTCAGATCACTGCTTTAGAAATGGTCTATGCCTCGATTCGCAGTTCTTCAATCAGACCAATATTAACTGTATACATGTTTTCTGACTTTTCATAGATGCATAATTAGTGATTGAGCTTCTTAAGTGTAATTATGCACGTATTTCTTGTCTTATTTTATTCTTAATCTGTGTCGTGCTCGGCTATTATGGTTTCATTATAAGTTGCATGCAGGAAATGTGGCTTGTAATGTTGTAATTTATTCCTCAAAACTTTTGCTTCACCGGACCAGTTTCATGAAACTATTTGTGTTGTTATCATTCAGTTTAATGGGCTATGAGGGGCTGGAGGTCATTAATCCAGAAGGTGGCACTGAAGATGCTGAAGAGGAAGCAAAAAAGGGACGGTGGAAACAAGAGGTATACTACTTAACACCATCATATGTGTGTTGTGTGATACGGTGCACTGGTACAGTGATTGCAGGAGACTTTCATTAGTGAATCAATTATGATGTGTTTCAGTCATTCATACACTATCATTTGCTCTCTCTTTTTGAATTAGAGGGGTGGGCACAAATGGCTTAAGATTGCAAGCAGGATCGAACTTGCGACCTCCCACTTACTGGGGAGCTTGTATGCCATTATCATTTACTTTATATCCTGGAATTGTGTCATGGGATCCTAGCACTAAAGTTTATTAACTTTCATTCATGACAGTCCCAACACAATATGATTATATGATGACTGATAGGGTGGCATGAAAGAATCTGATGGAGACTTGGTAGTATGAGATACCAAGTCCCACATTGAGTAGTATGGGAAAGCTCAATAGAATATATAAGTAGGTTGGTTCTCCCACTTCAACAGCTAGCTTTTGAGGTAGGATTTTCCATCCCACTCAAGTACCCATCAATTGGTTAGAGCCTTATTGTCGGCGGTTCCAGAGAGGGCTACCCATTGAGAGTTCTGACTAGAAGGAGGCTGAGTTAAGTGCTGTGGATTGCAGCCGTTGGGACGTCAGCTTTCCATGAGATACCAAGTCTCACATTGAGTAGTATGAGAAGCTCAATGGGGTATATAAGTGGGTTGGTTCTCCCACTTCAACAGCTAGCTTTTGGGGTAGGGTTTTCCATCCCACTCAGGTACCCATCAGAATCACCAATGCGTGGGCTTCAACTTAGACATAAACCTTGAGCATAGATCACACTTGATGTATATAGCTTGTAACTTTTATCATGGGAACGCTTGTGCATTAAGTTGAAGCAGTCTACATTCTAGCATTGGTTGTGTTGTTACTTTTACAAACATTTGAAAATTAGCATGGTTAGTCATCCTATCTGGTCTGTTTGGAATGTCCAGGAACTTTTTTGCTAAGACACGCTGTGGCATGCTGAACTGCTGATAATATATTAATATGCCATGCAAAATCTGTGGTTCTGTTGATTGCTTGGGTAAAATATTACGCTTATTGTATGGCGGACTTGAAATATGTTGAAAATATTGAGATGTTTTGTTTTTCTTGCGCATTTATTCTCAAAGTTTCCCTCATGCTTTATAGGAACGAGACGGTTACTGGAAAATGATGCAAAAGTATATAGGCTCTGACATCACATCAATGGTGACACTTCCAGTTATTATTTTTGAGCCGATGACAATGCTGCAGAAAATGGCCGAGGTCTGTGTCATAACAGCTTAAGGGAATTTGCTGTTGTTTAAAAAAAAAAAAAGAAGTTATAAATCTCATTAACTCTATTATGATTCGCAGCTGATGGAGTACTCTTACCTGCTAGATATGGCAAATGAATGCGAGGATCCGTACATGAGATTAGTTTATGCTTGTAAGCGTTGTTTTCTTATTCTCTACTTCCACACACACAATTCGGCACGCATCTACGCTGCCCATGCATTACATGGCTTGTGACTTTATAGGTTCTTTTCACAGCTTCATTCTTTATATCTGTCTACTATGCTTACCAACGAACATGGAAACCATTCAACCCTATTCTTGGTGAGACTTATGAAATGGTTAATCACGGAGGCCTTACATTTATATCAGAGCAGGTGTGTTTAAATTTCTGTTTACTATCCAAAGCAACTATTCTTGCTGTTTTTCTTTTGTTGTTTGACTTTGGCCATGACCTTCCTGAATTTCGATATGGCACTGGCAAAAAATAGCCTTAACACGTACAAACAAATAACTACAGGTCAGCCATCATCCTCCCATGAGTGCTGGACATGCTGAAAATGAACATTTCACCTACGACGTGACATCAAAATTGAAAACTAAATTTCTTGGGAACTCAGTTGATGTTTATCCTGTTGGGAGGTAATACTTTTCTATCTTTCTTCGTGGTTCTTAACTTTTTTCTGATAAGGTGATATTGTAATGAATTAAATGGGATACCGGAGCTCCATGTTATAAAAACTTCCACTATATCCTCTTTGTGATGTTGTTATATCAAGTCTTTGAACTATTTACTAAAAAAGAAAAACTAAAATCTTCAAAGTACTAGAGTCATTACAATCTTGAATGCTCTGTAACTTCAATTTGGAAAGTTAAATATGTGCTTACTACAATTCAGTGTTTAATTTATTTTTTTTAATTTTTAATGCTTGATGTCCATGCAATGCAGTCCGTTGTCAAAATTAACTGAACTCCTTCGTCTAGTTGTGCGTATTAAAGGTTATCTGACTTGGATGCAGGACAAGAGTGACTCTCAAAAGAGATGGTGTGGTCCTTGATTTGGTACCTCCTCCAACAAAAGTTAACAACTTAATTTTTGGTCGAACTTGGATTGATTCCCAAGGGGAGATGGTGCTGACAAATCTGACCACTGGGGATAAAGTGGTACTATATTTTCAACCATGTGGCTGGTTTGGGTATGACTGCTTTCTTTGAAGTACATTTGATTTCATCTGAAATATATACAGACTCTGTTGAAGTTGATCATTATCTCTAAATGAGCAAGTGTTCACACTTAAGGTTTAAACTAACTGCTTATAGCGATGGATCTAGAGCTTAACATTTCTTTTTTTCTTTCTTCTTCTTCTTCTTGTTTTTTTTTTTTGGGGGGGGGGGCACATTAAAAATGGTGGCTATGTCATCAATGTTTATTTTTTTTTAACAAATAAACACATTTTAATTAGAAATTTGAAGTGCTTTCCCCCTTATTATCCATCAATGATCATGGATTCGTACTACTATCTGTTTGTTTTCCTATTTATCTTATGTTAAGTGCCTAGTATCATGATTTAATCCTGGTTCCCGCAAAGTCTTTGCTAAGAAGCATAGTTTTGATTTCTTTTTTGAAGCGTCATGCGTATATGTTGATCAGTTACTCCTTGTAATTGCTCATTATGGAACTTTATTCCAAATATTTGGTACTGTTGCGATACGCTTTTTCCAATTTAAAAGGATTTTGCACTTACAGAGCTGGTCGGTATGAAGTGGATGGGTACGTCTATAATGCTGCCGATGAACCCAAGATACTGATGACTGGAAAATGGAATGAGGCTATGAGTTATCAAATGTGTGACTTAGATGGAGAACCACTTCCAGGGACTGAACCGAAAGAGGTTGGTTATTTAATTTTTGTTTGCTTTATACCCAAATTCTTTCTGATTATAGAGAAAGAGATGTTATAATATCGCTTAGGAGCATGCCTCTTTTTTCCTTTTGGTTAGTGAAACGGTGCATGCCCCATCGATTTCATCACTTCAATTCTTAAATTGTTCGATTCTGCAGGTTTGGAGAGTTGCTGATGTTCCCAAGAACGACAAATACCAGTACACGCATTTTGCACACAAGATTAACAGCTTTGACACTGCTCCTAAGAGGTTGTTGGCGTCCGATTCTCGCCTACGTCCTGATAGAATGGCCCTTGAGAAGGGTGACTTATCCACATCTGGCCATGAAAAGAGCAGGTAATTCTCCATCCACCCTTACCGTAATTTGATAAAACTCATAGAATCTTAATTTTCTTTTAAATTGTTGTTTTGCTGGTTCAGAACTGTCTCTAGCAGCTGCATGATTCAGTAGGAGAGATGAAGAGAGCAATAAGACCCACCTGATATGTGAATTTTTCTTTTCTCTTTGTCTCTCTCTCTCTTTACTGGACCGTGCAGCTGTTGTAGAATATCTCGTTGGCATTACATTTGTTACAAGTGTCAGATGCGTATTATATACGAAGCAACTTTGTTCTTAAAGTGTTAGATGTGACAATCTGTGTTGGTTAATTTGTTTTTCAGTTTGGAGGAGAGGCAGAGAGCAGAGAAGAGAAACCGAGAGGCCAAGAGCCATAAATTTACTCCTAAATGGTTTGACCTGACTGAGGAAATTACTCCAACACCTTGGGGTGACTTGGAAGTTTACCAATACAATGGTAAATATACAACGCATCGAGCTGCCATAGATAGTTCCACTGGCGTTGAGGACCCTCATAGCAGACCAGAGTTCGATCCATGGCAATATGATAGTTTGCATGCCGAGTAAAGCGCTTGTGTCTTTTTTTTTAAACTATTTTTTTTTTGGGGTGATTGTAATTCTATCCTTTTCCTTTATTTTGTTTTTGATAGTAAGAATGCTGAATTCTGTACCTGTATAAATTATTTCTTTTTTATGATTCTCGTCATTCATATTATTAGGTTGTAATGTAAGTTAAGCCTTGGTATGGATACCTAAAATTTGATATGTAGCGATGTTTGTTTTGTTATTGTAGAATTTTGTTTTCTTTAATATTCATCTCCTTGGATTATCAATCATCCACTTTGCATAGACTTTCCTACCCGTTTTGTTTGTGGAGGTGATGCGGTGTGGTTTCTTGTGCTATCAATGATTATCTTTAATATAAAAATTTAAGGATTGAATAAATTTTTTTATGAATTTTTTAGATCTTGGTTAACCGTTTGTTTGAAAAATTAAGAAACTAGAACTAGAATGTTAATTGGAAGACTGATAATGTGATCACCGGATGAAACTGAAGAATATAATCGAATTATTTGAGGCTGCATTTAGATTAATGAAGATTTAAATTTAAATTTAACAACTTAGCTGCTTAAAAAAAAAAATTGAATTTCATTGAAGTTTAAATTCATTTTTTTATTATAATTCATTTATAATTTTAAATTTTTTCTTTACCTTAATTATTTGAAATTCTAACCATTCAAATTCTCTTGTTCCATTTGCATTTTTTTATTATTAGTGTTTCTGTCACTTTTACATCTCCCATTTTCATCCCTCAATTGTCCTTTTTGGCCATTTAAAAAATAAAAATAAACTCATTACGCTCAATATTGTTTTTGATTTGAATCTTAGTTCATCTTTTTTCTTTCTTTAATTTTTTTTACACTATGCAAATAAATTATTCTAAAAATATGAATTTTTTTAGTGATAAAAATATGAATTTTAAAGTGGGATTTCAAATCTAAATTCCAAATCTAACAATCTAAACGCGATCTAAGTGAATATTTTAGACTGGATGTTTATTTAGGTGATTCAAACGATTGTCCGTTGAATTAGGTCACCGAATACTTTTTAAATGTCTTGAGCATCAATTTGATTCTAATCACTGTATACAGTATCACTTTTGGGGTTGTAGAAAGACAATTTGATTATCTTTAGCATTATTTGCAGTACACAACCAATCCTTTGAAGTCCAGATTTTTATGTTGGAGAAGAACAAAAGGTTTTATTGCATCACAAGCTTACACACAAAGAGAGAAAGAAAGAAAACTATAATTTCACATGAAGCTGTCCAAAACTTACCGATAATAAGTAGGTAATAGTCATTAAGATAAGCAATAACCACCGTATAAACAAGATCAATTTATTGTTAATCGAGTATGGATCCTCTCTTCCCTTTTTGGTTGTAAGGCTTTTGTAAAAGTTCAAAAAAAAAAAAAAGATTGTCAGGAAGGATTACATACATAATATTGCTGTGTCACAATTCAAATTTTACCCCCAAAAAAATTTATAGTTAAAAACTATAAAAGATCCTTACATGCTACCAACCTGAGATCAATCATCGAAATCTTCAAGTGGTTTAGTCTCATCAAACCATCTCGGAGGATCATAACCAGACCCACCTGCAAATGAAAAAAGAAAAGGGAAAATCCATTCAAATTCAAAGTTCTCACATTCTGAAGAAGCAGGGCGATGGTATATAGAATTCAAGACCAAGATTCATGGAAAAGCATAGAACATAGAAAAGGTTATCCGTCAATACCAAGGGGATTGCAACGACATATACGCCATGCTGTCAAGGCTGTACCCTTCACAACTCCATATTTCTTATAAGCTTCCATGGAATACTCACTGCAAGTTGGAACATATCGACAGCTCTTTGGCAAGATTGGTGAAATTTCCCCTGCATTAAAATCGATTATTATAAATCATAAACTCGTCAGTCACAACTCCTGAGGCAGAAGAAAACATGCAAGTACAAAATAGTAGAGTTTTATGCTCTCTTCCTTGCATGCACCAGAACATTAGGTAACGGGGTCACCCATAACTTGTATTAAGTGTTGATATAGGACCCATGTGTTACACAAGGTGAACGGCACTATTCATGACTCATAAATAGTAGTGTTTTGTCAATACTTTTTTTTTTTTTTTAAATCTTGTATTGATATTGGTGAGGGTATGAATCTTTCGTTGGTAGTGTTTTTGGCACGAGGGGACCGGAGGAGAGGGGAGGGATCTTGCTCATGTTTCTTTGTTTGGGCCTAAGAAATTCTAGGAGGGGAGGTAAAATTTTCTAACGTTAAAATTCATCTTCTTCCCTTGCCTTTAATCAGTCAAACAAAAAGTAACATTAAAATCTTTCCCCTCTCCTCCGTTGAACCAAACAAACATATTTGTGTCATCCAATGAACAATAACAGTCATGCCCATCAGCAGGGGGATGTATGGTTATAAGCCTTTACTTTCAAGCCTTTGACTCAGAAATAGTCTTTGATACGGACCCTAATAGACATCATTATTAATTTGACATTTACATTAATCTGAATTTTAAGATGGTATTCTTACTAATTTCTGGCATTCATGGAAAAGGTTAACACATAAGGTACCTATTTTAGCTAAGAACAAAATGACACTATCAATCAATTTGCAAAACCTCAAAGCAAACTAGCAAAAAAATCCAAGGGACATTCGTAAAGGAAAGTGGGAAAAGGCTTACTTTTGTAGAATCTCAGCATTGATAGCGCAGCTGTAACTCCTAAATTGTTCGCCTCGCTATCTGATCAAACATGCAAATTTATAATTAATTCTGTAACAAGTTAATCAGCTTACAGAATGAACAGGTCAGTATTACCTTGGGTAGTTTCTGGGTTTGAATCTTTCTCCAGTCCATGAACCACAGGGCTGGAATGATTTAGGGATTTTAACGATATCGAAATCCTATAAGTGTGCCGTTGATCGGTCTTGTTCTTGAGGGAACTGAAATTAGAGCTAGGGAATTGGGGGGAAATTGGGGTGGAAGGGATGGACGCAAGACAGTTCAGAGATAGAACGATAGCGGCCATTTCACGCTCCGCCGTATGCGCTGCTGCAAATATCCCATATTAGCTGTCTCGGGCCGCTCGACGTTCAGGCCAAAACGACGAGTCGACGGTTCTTTTTCTGCGTTTTAGATTTTCCATCTTTTTTTTTTAATGGAAAATTTCGAGTTTGACTAATGGATCTCCCAAACGATATCCTATATCCTATAATATTATAAGTTTTTGGGGGAAAAAAAAAGTTGAAAGAACAACTTACCTGATAAATTATAAGGGGAGTAACATTAGAAATTTTAAACTCATTTATTATATAATTTATTTTTTTAATTTTTGAATTCATAACACCCTCTTTAAAATAACAACGATTACTTTCTAATAGTCTAGACAGGCGGACAAATCAGTGGGCTCACCATCACCATAGAATAGTTATTTTTTATTTTCTACTTAACATTACAAGAAATTGATATGAATTCAAGAGTTCAAAGGATAAATTGCACATTTGGAGTTTTTGGTGCTATTTGACTGAGGATATATTGCTCTTTTGCCCAAAAGATTATGCAGAAATCTTGGCATGTATGGATTTAAAATTTTCAATATTATATATCATTTTTATCTCTTTAATCCTCATTCACTACTCATAAACCACAATTCTTTAGATATTGGTTTAATATAACCCAAAGATCTAATAAACGAATCCCAAATGATTTGTTGTCTTTTATTTATAACATATATTTTAAATTTAATTTGTTTAGTTTATTTTCTTTCGTTTTTTCTTGGACCAAGAATTGTCGATCCTCCATACACAACTTTTAAGTGCTGTACAGATGTAAAACTGACGTATTCACTCAAAAGTATTAGTGGTTTTACATGACTAATGAAAAGGGCATTGTCATTTTCACTTTTTTAAGTCATCCTCTTATCGGTTATTGTTAATAATTATGTACCATGATCTATAAATAGTAATAAAAGATAATATAGGTGTCAATCTAGAGGAGTCTAATTAACTTTTCTTTCTGCTTAGGTAAATCATTGAGCTGACTCCATTGTGATTTTAGGTGTGTAAGTAAGTAATTAATTAATTAATTTAATGGTTCCAAATCATCACTTGATCACTTAAATAAATAAAAAGAGAAACCCATGATTAAATCCCCTAGTTGGCAATTGGAAGAAAATGCCAAAAAGAATAATTTTATAGGTCCGGGGAAAAAAATATTCATAATTTCACATCAATATATTAATTATTTTGATTTGATCTGACAAAAGAACCTACATGAGCTATAGTTGCTACAACTTGGGATGGGGAATCCCCAATAACAAGGCTAAACCCTATTTGATTATTCCCTTTTATTTTTTTTTTCCAGTTATTCTTTATTTTTTTTACCATCACTGAACATTGTTTCAAGCAGTTACAGACGTCTCCACAGCAAGCTTGCTAGGGTAAGCAACATCAGATTTAATCTCACAATCCCAGAGCTCAGGCACAGCCTCTCTCAGATTATGAATGCTCTCTAGGGCATAATCTGCACCTTGAACTCTCTGAGATGTCCCAACCTATTCAATATATCAGAGGCTCACATTAGTATCAATATTGTCATAATCAAATCCCACCCACAGTTTCCTCAAAAGCAATCACTTCCCATTGACTTACCCTCACTGTGTGGAGACCCACACGTTTCCCAGCTTGGATGTTTCTGACACTATCCTCAAAGAACAGCTGAAAATGAGAGATACAACCAAAATTAAAGGGAAAAAGCAGTAGGTTGCAAAGGCAAAACTGTATATATTTATGTATCAGACTCAGAAAGCTAAATGTACTTTAGATTGATCACTTGTCTTACAGTTCTTTGAGGATCAAGGTTGGCTATTTTGACGGCCAATTCAATGGCATATTCTGATGGCTTGCAGATAACTGGTGTTTTGGGCAACTCTGTACTGGGATTGGATTGGGCAAAGTGACCTAAGATGTCAAAGATTTCAGAACGAGAAGCAGAACAACCATTGCTTGCGGCTGTGTTGGTGCTGCTTGAGCTTGAACCCATGTGCACAGTTTCATCATCTGCATCCTCAGAAACTGTGTTCTTATGGGTGAGATTGAGTGTCTCAAAGCATATGATTCCTTCAAAGCAATCTTCTAACCCAAGCCTGCTAAGTGCCTTCACTGCATGGACCTTGTCAGCATTTGTGAATATCTATAGATGAAATCAAGAGACAGCAGGTAACATCAGATATATGCTCAACATATTTGTTTCTTTTATATACATTTCATTGATCTCATTTGGTTTATGAAGTAGCTTACTAGTTTCCTATATGGTAGGCTCAGCAAGAGATTCCTCAGAACGGGGTCAGGTTTTAAGTTCTCATAAGGTAATCTCCCATGGACAAAACTGCAAGAGCAGAAATTCAAATATAAATAAATACCACACTTTCAAAATGCAGATTAGCATTTATGAGAAAACAGATTGAAGATGAAGGCTAGAGAGGGAAAATTCCCTTACCTGTGATATTCATTGTAGTCAAAGTCATATCCGATTGCCTGTATCGAGAACAAGAATAGGATCAACCATGGGTTATCAACATGCTCTAAACAATTGCTGAGAAGGAAATTATTAGAAGATCATACCCTAAGACCAGCCAGAGTTGTTCCATAGTTTTTGTACAAGAGGTAGCCTAATTCATCAACTTTGCTTTGCTCTATACCAAGATTCTCCACCAGAAAGTCTACATCAATAGTACATCAATACCAGAACAAGCAGCAATAAAGACATTCTTAAGAATAAAAACGGATGAAAAGTAATTTATACACTGACCTTTGACATTCTGGTCGCAGGCATTTCCAACACCATTACTGCGAGGATACAGTGTATCATCTAAATCTGCAGGAAGACTCAGTTTTAACATATATGTACAGTGGTTATTATGTTTTAAACAGGCAATAGAAGAAATTGGGTGGATTCATAGGCTCACCAAAAAGAAGGCAATCATATTTGGTCTCTGGGCCTGCCTGAATCTGGTCTCATACTCCATTGCAACTAGAAAAACCTTAAAAACAGAAAACTGAAAATAACTGAATGAATACTATGCTTTAGGAAACATTAACCAACCGTATTTATAGTGAGCTCGTGCTGATTCTCAATCCAGTCATATCCATAAAAGAGAAGTTCATGTTGACTCAGATTAGCAACTAAAGTGGTTAAAAGCTCTATCAAAGCAGACGACTGAGAGCCATTCAGATAAGGACTCATAAGTTTCTGAGTGTACAATCCACAACAAGTGGAATGGATTTACATCAAAATTTTGTGGACCAGTGACCTTTTGGGGCACAGTATTAAAGAAAGATACAGAAGCTCAAAAATTATATTCGATTATTAAAATTAGCAGCAAAAACGAATGGTCTCCCTCGAAAGAAGGGATTATAGTAAAAGGCCACAAAACGCATTATTCTTATTATTACACTCCTTTGAATAGAATTCATCAGACAGAACACAATCTCTTTTTCAAAATGCACACGCTTTTGGAATCATCCCCATAACTTGGTTATACCAACTTTGTGGAATGAACCATAAAAAAATTGTTCATAAACCCAACCATTTATGGGCAATGTAGATTTCCAAAGAGTTGTATTACTCTGAATATCTGATGAGTCCAACGTCCAAAACCCAAAATCTGTTTAAGGGTAGAGAAATTCAAGAACCCAAAAGCAAAATTCTCAAAACCAAGAAATGGGTTGCATAAAGACTAAAGGAGCAAGAAACTCAAGGGTCTGGCCAATAAGTGAAAAGAAAACTGATAGTACAGAGAAAAGGGAAAATGCTAAAGATTGAAAGAATCAAAGAGGCCAAAAGCTTACCAGAAAGAGAAGAACCAATGGGTGAAACCTAAAGAAAAGAGGGCCTCTGAGAGAAGCACAGAGGTATAGAAGAAAGCAAGAGGCAGGGGGAAGAAAAAAGGCAGGGTAGGGGTGGTTTATGTAGAGAAAAAATGACGCTATTTGTGCCTTTGTGGCTAGAGAATTACATTAAAATATTATTCAATTACGTTTATTTTTTGAATACTATAACCAATAAGGTTCACACAATCAGAAGGTGACAGCTAAATAGCTACTTTAATTTGGTGAAGCTTTTCTTTTTTCTGGACAAGAATCAAAATCTAGTTTCGCATATACCACACTGAAACTAGTATTCAACGCATGAAATTGCCAATCAGAACTTGGGATGCAAATTTTAATGACAAAATCCACACTTTTGTGTATATATACATCTTCTTAGGCCGATCCAAAGTGAAATCCTGGCCATTGAATGCCCTGATATAAGATCTGATTTCAGGATACTCTAAATAGATCACTTTCAGGAAGGATATTTATCACTAATTTTTGGTCAAATTAGATATTTCACGTAGTTTTAGAGAAAATATTAAATCCAAGAACCACCTAATACGAGCCACCCTTCATTGGATCAAATCTAAAGCCAACATGGATAAAAATGATCCAAATCGCGTGCATGTAAATTGCAATTTGCTTCTTAAGCTTTTTTTTTTTAATTCATATACACACAAAACTTTATATTTTTCTTTATTAAATGAACCCGAGAAAATGTAATAAATAAACATTAAAATGAAGACAGATAGATGATCAAAATTCAATGGCTTAAACTTATCAAAATGTTCAGTCCAAGGAGGGGGAAATGATGTTGTCAAACTGTTGGTGCTAAGTTATTTGTTTGTGACAACGAATGTAGTATACAAATAACATGGTTATATAAGACACATGAAATGCAACATTTTGTGGAAGCCACCTGGATTGACAAGATACTAGAGGAAAAAGGCATTTGCACATTTGCGTGTAGGACTCCTTTTACCTAATGTGTATATGTGTGTGTGTGTGTGTGTAAACATGTGCCAGAGAATTGTAAATAAATCTGAATGAGGAAATAAATTATTTTTTTTAGTCTTATTATTTGCCAACATCTAATATTTATGTTAGCATGTTTAAGTATGAATGGAATTGAAATAATGTGAGAATTATGATACATAAACTCGAACTTTGAGTTTTTGATTTAGGATATAATAGTCTTCTTATTATGCTTTTGCTCATTTTGACATGTTAAAAGTGATTTATTAAAAAAAAAAACTGTAACAGTGTGTATAAATAATATAATTTGTGAGTGAAAACTGAAAAGTTTGGTGCCAAATGGAGGCAGCCAAAAGTTGCGTGGAAAATTTGTGTTGGAGAGAAATTGGAAAATGTTTGGGAAAGAATAATAATGCTTTATTTAGTGCTTCATGAGATAGGCAGAAGGCTTGTCCTTATGCAAAAATAACGGTTTATGTTATATTATTGTAAGAACACACATTTTGTTTTGTCTCATGGACATGACTTATTATATTTTCGTAATAGTTATTCCATATTCATCTTTAAAAATTTTTATTCATCAATCAATCAATTATTTTTAAATTTTGTGTATCAAATGAATCTATATCCAGGTGCATGTCCGTGTGAGGTTTGATAAGTTTTATGTTGACTATCAAGAGTCCAATACAATCATACTCTCATTGTATAAAAAGCATTTTTTTATCACAATTAAATTATATTTTTGTCGACCAAGATATTATATTATGTAATAATAAATTAACATTTTTCATTACAAGTTCTATCTCAATTGTGACAACAAATATTGTGACAAAAGATATCATCTTTCATCACAGGTGAGTTGGGACCTATGATAAAAGATATTCGCCACAAGTTCCAGCTTATCTATGACAAAAAATAACATATTATATATTATTATATATATTTGTAAGTTGGAGTAAATATGATTATTGGATTATAGGATAGAGAGGAGATATTAGAGATTCGATTGAAGGTAGTACTTGGTTTCATCATTCATGAACCTGAATTGAAGTGAGGACATGAAACCAACAGCTTAATTACAGCTTTAATTTGCTGATCACTTTTCATGTCCTTTCTATAATTAGTATTAGTGTATAACTACATCACGAAGCCTTGCGGCTTCCACCACTTTCTCTCTAGCCTCATATTAACTAATTATTGAATTTAGGCTATATTTTAATAATGCCAA